CAAATGTAAGAAGTGATGTGGAGATCTATGTACCTTTTATCCAGTTTCTCCCAATGGTAATACCTTCAAACCTATTGTATGATTTCACAAACGGGACACTGACATTGACAGAGTCAAGATTCCGGATACGCCTGTCACCAACAAGGTCCCTCATGTTGCCTTTTTGTGGCTGAACCCATGTCGTCTTACTCTCCCTGTCTCTGCCCCATCTTCAACTCCTGACAACTCCTAAACGGTTCTCTATGTCTATAATTTTGTCACGTCAAGAATTTCGTATGGATGGAATTAACAGCGTGCAACCTTGACTTTTCTCACTCAGTGCAACCATCTGGAGGTTCACCCAGGCTGTGCCATGTGTCCAAATGAGAAATGGCTTTCTCTTTTGCTGCTGAGTAGTATTCCGTGCCACACTTTGTTTAACCACTCACCTTCCACCGGAAGGGCAGCTGGGTTTTTCTCCTGTGGGGTTATTACGAACAAAGCTGCTACAAACATTCACATATGCGTTTTGGGGTGAACCTAAGTTTTTGTCTTTCTGGGGTGAATGCTCAGGAGTGCATACTGGCTTCCAGACACTTGCGTGTTTCGTTTTATAAGAAACCGTCAGACTGTTTTCTAGAGTGACTGCACCGTTTTACGCTCCCGCCAACGGTGTGTGAGTGATGCAGTCTCTCCACATCCTCGCCACCATTTGTGGTGTCACTGTTTTAGCCATTCAATAGTTATGTAGTTGAGATCTCATTGTGGTTTTAATTTGTATTTTCCTAATGGCTAATGATTTTAAATGACCTATTCTTATGCTTATTTGCCATCTGTATATTCTCCTCTTCAGTTAAATATCTCTTCATGCTTTTTCCCAGTTTTCTAATTTAAAATCTATTATTATTATTATTATTATTACTATTACTATGGCATTTTGAGAGTTCTTTCTATATTGTACATACTAGTCCTTTGTCAGATTGGTAGTTGGCAAAGATTTTTCTCTCATTCTGTAGCTTGACTTGTCATCCTCTTGACAGGGTCTTTCACAGAGCAAATGTTTTAACTTTGATGAGGTCTAATTTAACCCGTTTTCCTCTTATGGCTCCCGCTTTTGGCATCAAGTCTAAGAATTCCTTGTCTAGCCCTAGCTTTCAAATGTCTTCTTTTTTCTCTGTGAGTTTTACATTTATATGTTTCACATATAAATCCATGATCAATTTGGAGTTAATTTCTGCATAAAGTGTGAGACTTGACTGAGGTTCATTTATTTATTTTTTGCTGATGAATATCGATTGCTTCCACACCGTTTGTTGAAAAGGGTGTCTTTCCTCTATTGAATTGCCTTTGCACCCTTATCTAAAGTCAGTTGGAAATTTTGCATGGGCCCATTTCTATTAAGTTCCACTGGTCTGTGTATCTATCCCTAATACCGTGTTGCCTTGGTCACTGTGGCTAGACAGTAAATCTTGAAATTGGGTAGACTAATCTATCCCGTTTTTCTTTTTCAAAATTGTTTCAGCTATTCTAGTTTCTTTACCATTTTATACACATTTAGTAGAATAATCATGTCTAGATCAATGCAATAATATTGCTGGGATTTTGTCTGCAGTTCTGTTAACCCACATATCAAGATGGGGAGAATTGACATCTTTACTCTTGAGTCTTCTAACCCACGAGCTTGTTAATGTTTCTTTATGTATTTTAGCTCTCTTTGGTTTCTTTCATAGGAATTTTAAGCACACAAGTATTTTGTTAGATTTATACCTAAGTATTTCATTTTTCTTGAGTGACTGCAAGTGGTATTGCATTTGTAATTTTGGTGTCCACTTGTTCATTGCTGGTATACAGAAATAGAATTGAGTTCATACATTTATCTCTTATTCTGTAACATTGAATTCACTCAGTAGTTCTAGGGTTTTGTTTCCTCATTTGTTTTATAGATTCTTTGGGATTGTCTGTATTTACAATCATAGGACAGTTTTATTTCTTCCTTTCCCAACTGTCTGCTTTTCTTTTTTCTTCTCTCGCTTTGTTGCACTGGCAGAACTTCCAGTAGGAAGCTGAATAGGAATGGTAGAGTAGACTGGTCATTCTTGCCTCTCCCTGATCTTAGGGGAAAAGCATTCAGCCTTTCATCATGAAGTATAATGTTAGCTATGGGGTTTTATAGATGCTTTTTAGCAAGTTGAGGAAGTCCCCCCATTCCTATTTTTCTGAGAGCTTTTCTAATGAATGGGTGTTGAATTTTGTCAAATGGGGAAGAGGGTGGGAATTCTTCATTATTCCTTACTGTAATTAGTCTGTCAATGTTAATGAGCATGTTATTATTAAGAACCTATTGGATGTTCAGTGCTGTTCTAGGCCCCGTGAGACATATAGGAACCCCAAATATTTGGGCCTTGCCCTCAAGCACTACGGAAACACAATATCTAAGCCACAATTTATCATAAGTGCTGCAGAAGGCCCAAGGCAGGGGAGGCCGGTGTTGCCCTGGCTAGGCTGGTCTTTGGGAAAGAGTAGAACCTGGATACACAAGAGATGGGAGTGAATTAGAACATTCAATGGCCTAAAATATTGTTTTCTAACAAGGACAATGGTAATTGATAATTAGTAGGATACAGATAGCTTTTGATTAGTGAAGTTGGCTTACCTCAGTTCAGTGGATTATCCCTGACAAATGCTTAATCCTGAACTTCCTCCCTTCCTGAGCATTCGGGCTCTCTTTTCTGCAATCAGTCAACACGTTCAGGGGAATGCAAACTAATATTACTATTAGCTAACGAAAAACATAATTCAGGAGGGCAATCTGTTGTTCTTCAATTGTTGCATCTCTTCCAAACTAAATATGAGTGCTATTGGCACTACCTTTTGTTTGGGGATACATACCCACACCACATCTCTTCCTCTTAAGGCTCAGCAAAGATTGACTGTGTGACCATGACATACACAACACATTTATTAAGCTGTCTCTCTAACAAGTCAGCTAAACTCTTGGGAACTAAGAGTAATGCCTTAGAGATTCTGGAACCCATGACATCTGATTCATTGGTCTTGTCCATATTTGTATGTATTTACTCTAACATAAAGTAATAATATAATAGTACTGTCATCTGCAAAATTAAAAATCCTCGCACATTACCCATGGGTCATGATTTGAGTTGTCATTCTAACGGGTTTGATGGATATGCATGGATCTGGTCCTCTATCTCACTTTGTCCTGCTGGTGACCAGTGGCTCCTCTTGGAGGCAGATGGCCAGGGTTAAGGGCAGAATCTGAGGCCATGAGGGAGAGTGAAATTAACTGCTCCCTTCACAAGGGGATTGAACCCCTGACCTTCACCTCATTAGCACAGCACTCCAATGCAGCAATCCCAAGCTCAATTTTATATCACCCCAGGGTGTTTCCACTTATCTCAAGAGGGAGTTGCAGAATTCCTCCAACAAAATTAATTTTAATTCACTTTAATTTAAACATTAAATATGGACTATGAGGCAGCGTTCTGCAGGAGTGGGGAAGAACAACAGCTGATGTTAATAAACCCCATCACAGTGCACTGTTATCTAGATACCCCAAAACACCCTCTCAAACCCACTGAGCCAAACAGTGTGGGAGGAAGAAGTCTATAAGTAAGTAGCAGGCATGGAAGGCTTTTAAATCACGGGGGAAGCGGCACCCAACCCTACCAAACATCTGCATTTCATAGAGACCATTTCATGTGGTCAGCTGGGGTGCACTCTGACATTCCCTGGGCCGGATGGGCATATTTCATCTCCGATTCAGCCAGCCCATCCCTTTTTCCTCCTAGGGACTGTGATGCTTTGCATAGTCCCAGGAATTTGCTGCAGGAACATTTTGTGATTTAAATTGGTCTTTGTTGCTGGGGCTTTCTCCTGGGTCAATGCAAAAAATTTATCACCTCCATGCTGGCCCAGGGAGAGGTTGGCTCAAAGGGTTCTCTGGCCACTGGCTTATTCTGGAGGCAAGCAGGATCCCATAGAAACTGCAGAACAGGCCAGCAGCCTGAGCGTAAGGCAGGGGAAGTAGCCATGGGAATCAGTCAGTTATTGATGAACATCCTTAAACTTTTCATTGTGGTTTACTGATAACAACATCCACATGCATTTTTTAAAGGAGAATAAGCATAGTTCCTTACCCTGGCAGTGCACTTTATATAATCTATCAAAGGCTTTCACACGCATTGTACCTCATTTGTTTTTTAACTACCCAGAGTTACCATCTTCATTTTATTGAAGAGCAAATAGACTCAGAAAACTTAAATGACTTGCCCAAGGTCGCATAGCTAGTAAATCACGGCTGGAGCGCCAGATCCCGCGTCTTCTCATATACTGTGCCCTCTTCCCTCTACTTATCTTATCTTGGTTTATTATCAACATCCATTTGCGTTTGGCGGGGAAGAGTCCAGCATCTTCATTTTGCAGAACAAACTGATGTAATTAAGCGTTTTGGCTCCTGCCTCTTTTTCTGATGGCACCATGTGCCTTTCTTGCTGAAGGACAAGGAGTTCTTTTGCAGGCAGATTCATTTCTGCTCTCAGAGGCCGGACTCTCGATTGCCATCATCACTGCCATGCTGCTCACTGGGCCCCACCCTGCCTTCTGTGTCCAGTGGGGGCTTGCGTCTGCTACTTCTGGGTAGTGAGGGTGTTATGCATGAAGAGTTCCTCCACATCTACTTAAAATTGCTCTTTCCATGTCCTAAGTTCAAGTAGTCAAAACACTTTCCTTCACACTTTTTCAAAGACGAGCATTTGTCCTATATCTTTTTTTTTTTTTTTTTTTT